CCGAAGAGAGCCTTCGGTGTTCTCAAGAGATCGCCAGAAAAGCTCCAAGATGACTCTACGTGGCATCCAAGGGGCTTCCAAGAGGCTCTCAGCGCTAAATTCGCGAAAACAGTAATGGTTGACTTCCGTCGTCGTCGGCGTCGCCATCGTCGTCGTCGTCGTCGTTGTTGTTGTTGTTGTTGTTGGTGTTGTTGTTGTTGCTGCTGTTGTTGTTGTGGTGGTGGTGGTTGTTGCTGCTGCTGCTGCTGTTGTTGTTGTTGCTGTTGTTGTTGTTGCTGCTGCTGCTGTTGTTGTTGTTATTGTTGTTGTTATTGTTGTTGTTGTTGTTGTTGCTGTTGTTGTCCTCGTCGTCCTCGTCGTCCTCGTCGTCGTCCTCCTCCTTGTCCTCCGCCTTGTCCTCCTCCTCCTCCTCCTCCTCCTCCGCCTCCTCCTCCTCCTCCTCCTAGGCGCGACACGAGGCGGACCCGTTTCGACAGAAAGAAGCCTTACGCCAACGGCACGCCATCTGGGCATTGGTGTGTCAGGGGCGTCCAAGAGGGGGGGCGTGGAAGAGGGAGGCTCGCACAACATGGCCCGAGGCATGTGCGCGGCCGAGGGGGGGGGGGCGATGGGGGACGTAGTGAAATAATAACAAGGGGACCATGAGACCTGGAGAGAAATCATGCCCCCAGCCATGATATCCACACCCCCTAGTCATCACCCCCTTCTTCGCCGCCCCCGAGCTTGCGCGCAGCAGCTCACGCAGTCCCCCGGTGACTGGGCCACAAGAGGCAGCGGCGGCTTCCGGAACTGCCCGTGTCCATGTATCTGAAGGCGATCTCCAGCCCCCCGAAGTTGAGCTCCACCCAGTGCTTGAAAGACCCCAGCAGCTCCCCACAGGGAGGGTCGAACCTGTCCAGCGTGATCACGCCCGAGCAGCTCGTGTCCAACTGGCGCCACGCGCCGTCCACATTCCCCTTGAACTTCACCTTCTTGCACGCGTGCGAGAAATCGCGGAATGTCACGATGTTGGTGTCGTGCAGGTCCATGGAAGCCCTCCAAGCACGCAGTGGCTCCTCAAGGGATGGCGAATGACGATGCCGAAGCAGAATGATGCCTGCAGCTGACGATTGCCCCAATACTCTTGCTAGGAGTCGCAAGGACCGTAGGGAATGCTGCAAAAAGTTTGAAGCAATGCATGGGACTATGATTCCAAGCAGGGCACATACACATGGAGGTGGCAAAGCACCCGCTTCTCTGAACTGAGTGAATCGTGTGGCCTGGTGAACCAACTTCCTGAGTTCGCTCTGCCATTGCGCTTCCTGGATGGGCGACCCACCTGTCCTGAAACCTGTCTGGGCCGTCTGGGAATGTGTCCTGCGACTCACATGGACGAAGGACGTGGCCGTCAGATGCGCTGACATCCGCTCCAACACAACACATCCGTGGAACACTCCATATGGGAACCCTTTCTTGCTTGTTCTACCGCTACGAATGATCCGTTCCCAGGACAACACATAAAAGGAAGTGGACGTTAGCCTAGATGCAGCGGAGCGCCCAGGGAGGAAGTGGGAAGGGGCAGGCCTTCTCAGAAGGCGGCGGAACGTCTCAAGGCCCTCGCGCCTTCTGAGAAGCCGCCTGCGTCTTCGGAGAAGGCACCGACAACTTCTCAGAAGGCCAGAGGCCGTTCGAGCCTTCTGAGAAGGCCCGCTCACTCTGCCTTCCCACTGGGCGCGCCGCCGATAGAGACGGACTCAGTAGCATACCCGGAGGCATGACGAAGCCAACAATGAACCTCCTGGTCGGACCACGGCGCGACCACCAAAAGGCCATCCCGCCACCAAGAACGGCCGGGTGGATGATCATTGAGTGCCACGCGCTGCTGCCGCTGGTGCCGTGCTCTGCTTGTGCTGGCACTACTTGACAATACGTCATGTGCATATCCGATCATATCCGGACAACCGTCAGTGGGACGACCAGTACAAGTCAGACCGCTCCTTAGATTTTGCGACCAGGCGTCTGACACTGGAGAGCAGTGCACAAATTGAGGGCAGCGCTTTTTCAGTGGTGGGCTCTCGCTGGACACTTTCTTGGACTTCACGATCCTACCTCGCCGCCGTCACTTTAGCTACAAGCACAGATGGCAGCTCCTTCTCAAAACGGTGTTGTTTCCTAAATTACAGGACCGTGGCATGCTCGTCTTTCAAAGGTGCACTCCCCAGCGCGAAAAGGAATTCCTGTAGGTGCTTATGACAAGGGGTCTCGGGACGGACGGGCGTATGTAGCGTTGCTGCATCTTGGAAGTACTATGGCCCTCCTCCTCCTCATCTTCATCCGCAACATCACCATCATCATCATCACCATCATCATCAGCATCACCATCATCATCATGAGCATCAGCATCAACATCGTCATCATCATCTCATCATCACCATCATCAACATCATCAAAATGCACATCATCATCATCATCGACGTCAGCACCATCATCATCATCATCATCATCATCATCATCATCATCATCATCATCACCACCATCATCCTTCTCCGTCTCTGCTCTTCGATCCTTGCTCCTTATCCCTATTCCTAGTTCAAACAGAATCCTACTCTGTCACAAAAACCAGCCGACAGCTGGCCAAGCCGGGACCTCCCAGCTAACCCGACAAAAACAGACAGAAAAAATATACCATTTTCGCTTTCAGCATGGACACGACGACGTCCATGCTGCAAAATGCGTGGCGGGACGGGGGACGGGGCGCACACCCCGCGCGGAAGGCCGCATTGTCGTCCTCGCCACGGCGCCGAGCTGTTTTTTTTGTTCCTACTGCATGCGGTTCCCGCTGGGGCGCAGCAGATATTCTTCGCACGCCACGCTGTCGACGCGCGAGGTGGGCGAAGCTGTGCTCTCGCCTCGGCGCCGCAGATTTCGGCTCCAAGTGGCGCTGCCGCCCGGGCGCGGCGCATGTGTGTTCGACTCGTCAGTTTTCCGGGCGCCCGCAAGAGCAGGCGCCTTGGCGCATGTGGCGTTCACGTGCCGGCACGGCGCATGACTCGTTCGCCGAATCGCCTGCAAGCGGCAGCGGCAGCGGGGCCGCGCGAGAGCGGACGAAATGCCTGAGCGCCTCGCCCAAGCGCCGTGCAGCTTGCGAGTCTAGGTGGCAATGCTATGCCAGCGCGGCACATGCTTCGTCCTCGCCGCGCCAGCCAGAAGTTTTTCCGTTCCCACCCCTGCGCGGCCCACGTAGCTTTCCCTTCTCCGAGTCGTCGGAAGCAGGGACGCGCACGAACGCCTTCCGTCTGCTAGGTGGGAACGCGTTCCAATCCCAACGTCAAGCTGTGCCGTCGTCTGGTCTTGTGTTAAGGGAGAGAGGGTGGGAATAGGCGGGGCCCTCTGAATCGCCCGACTTGGCTGACTTGCTTGGGATATGCTCCTACTTTGCCGCCCAGCTGGCGGGTAGCGACTGGATCCGTGACCTCCCATCTTGCCTGTTTTTACAACATGCAAGGTCGACCCTTTTCCTTTCGGCATGGACAGTAGTCGTCCACCTTGCAGAATGCGTGGCAGGAACGGAACGGGGCGCACAGCCCGCGTGAAAGGCCGAAGTGTCGTTCTCGCCACGGCGCCGAGCCGGTCTTTTTCTTCCGGAGCTGGATCCCGCTTGGGTGCAGCGGACATTTGTCGCACGCCACTTCGGCGACGCGCGAGCGGGCGAAAATGTGCTCTCGCCTCGGCGGTGCGCAGACTTTCCCTGAAAGCGGCGCTCCCGCCAGGGCCGCGCGCGAGCGCCTTCCGTTCGCTAGGTGGGCACGCGCTCCAATTCCAAGACCGGGTTGTGCCACACTTCAGTCTCACGTTGTGAGAGGACGGGTCGGAACACGCGGGGCCCTCTCTGATTCGCACGACCTGGCTAACTTGACCCCTCCTCTTCGTCCTACACCTTCTCCTCCTCCTCCTCCATCTCTGGTCCTTGCAGATACCTCCTCCCTGTCGGACCACAAGGTGTGCTGGTAGGGGGGGGCTGGGCGTTTCGCCTGAGATCCCCCCAACGTTTATGATCCCGAAGGCTGATACTTCCAACAGTCATAGGGATGAGAGGGAGGCGGGCGGGGCGAAATGGGGTCCTCGCCATAGCGCCGCGCAAATTCGCCTTAAAAGCTTGCATGGGCCACCAGAGTGGAGGGGGGCAGGTTTTCAAAATGGGGATCTCGCCTTGAGGCCGCGCACATTGGTCCTGAGACCTCGCAACAGATACAAGGATGAAGGGGGTGGTTTTCAAAATGAGGCTCTCGCCATAGCCCCGCGCACACTCTTCTGAAAAGCTCGCAACAGTTACAAGGATGGTGGAATTCAAAATGGGGCCTCGTTTAATATTCACTCCCAAACACAAACCAGAGGCTTGAACATACGTAACGGCTGCACGGATGGTGGGCGATGCCTTTTCAAAATGGGGCCCTCGCTGAAGACTTCCTCAAATTAAACGGCCAGAACTGTGAACTCGTACAATGGGTACACGGATGCGAAGTGAATCGGGCATCTCGTAGACCTTAATGACCATGCCTTTCGCGTTTCTTAAGCTCGCTGGAAGGATACAAAGCAGTTCCTTTTCACACCGGGGCCATTGCCTGAATGTTAGGTCCGTAGCGTGCTCGACTCTCAAGGGGGGCAACTAGTAGTAAAAAAAGGAGTGCCCTTTGGGATTTGTGAAGCATCATCGTTGATGCATGTTATGTGTACTCTGGTCCTCTTCCGCCACCTGCTCGGCCTCCTCCCCGAACACTATTCCTCCTCCTCTCCCTGTTTCCCTCATGTTTCAACAGGGGGGCGCCCACGGATCACGCCGATCCTTCGCTGTTACCCTCGGTCCTTGTGCACTCTGAGCAGCTCCGCCTTCAGCTGGGACCACGCCTGGGGCGATGAGAAAGAGGAGAAGAACGCTGGGCACGCAGGAGGAGGAGGAGGAGGAGGGAGGAGGGAGGAGGGAGGAGGGAGGAGGGAGGAGGGAGGAGGGAGGAGAGGAGGAGAGGAGGAGGGAGGAGGAGGAGGGGATGGAGGAGGAGGAGGAGAAGGAGGAGGAGGAGGAGGAGGAGGAGGAGGGAGGAGGAGGAGGAGGAGGAGGAGGAGGAGGAGGAGGAGGAGGGAGGAGGAGGAGGGAGGAGGGAGGAGGGAGGAGGGGGGAGGAGTGAGAAGGGGCGGGGCGCAGGGCACGAAGACGTGAAATGTCCCGCCGCGCGGGCGCCGCGATACGACGCCCGTCACTCCCGCGAGTGGGAGCCGCTGGGCGCGCCGCGAGGGGAATGGGAACTTTTTCCTCGCGGCCGTGGGCGAAAGCGCACACGGCGTATCGTAATTCCGGGGCGCGAGGGGAATGGGAACGAGAAGCTACACATTGCCAGACGCACGGGTGAAGAGAGGCGGCGGGTGGAAGGGCATCGTCAGGTCGACCTCGCTACTCCGAGCCGCCGATGTAGGCGCCCCCCCTTCCATGACGAGGAAGGGAAAAGCGCAAGCGGCAGCCAACATAAGGCAAACCGACGAGGAGAAGCGCTGACGGAGCAAGGAAGAAGACGCGGCTGCCAGAGGGGCCACGGAGCCTCGTCGCTTTGTGTAACCCGCAGCGCTTGGCAGCCGTAAAGACGAGGAGGGCGGTCCGTGGTTCCCCAACAGTATCCACGGGCAGCTCAGTGTATACATATATATATATATATATATATATATATATATATATATATAATATATATACACCTATATATATATATATATAAACACACCACCGTGCCCTGAGGCACGAGTTGGAGTGTCCTCAGGCCCCTCTGGATTCTCTGTCGCGGGTACTGCAAAACTCTTGAAGGGGCCCAGAGCCCACATTTCCGGATCTCCTAGGCGCTCCTGGGCGCTCTTGGCGTCGGTCGCGTGACTGTTCCAAATGCCCGAGGACGCAAAGACGGACCAAGAGGGCCACAAGAGAGCCCCAAGAGGCCCCCAAGACGGTCCAAGATGGCCCCGAGTCGCCCAAAGATCGCGCTACGACGCCCAAGATGGCCCACAGACGGCCCAAGAGGCCCCAAGGGGACTCCAAGAGGCCCCTCCAAGCGGGCCCCAAGATGTCAAAACCAGCGATTGTCTACAAATGATTGACGGAATGATTGTTCTCGCCTTTGCTTTCGAGGCTCCAAGACGGCCCCAGACGCGCCCCAAAGATCGCCCCGAGACGGCCCAAGAGGCCCCCAAGAGCGTCCCCAGACGGCTCAAGATAGTCCCAAGACGGCCCAACAGGCTCCCGAGACGGCCAAGAGCGGCCCCAGAGGGGGAACACCAACCGACATTTCGAGCCCTTCGCCCCTAGACTGCCCCCGAGACTGCCAGCAGGCCCCCAGGTGGCCCCCCACAAGCTTCATGAGGCCGCCCCCAAGAGACTCCCGAGAGGCCCCCAAGACGCACCATAACAGAACCCAAGAGGCTTCCGAGAGGCCTCCCAAGAGATCCCCACAGGCATCCCAGAGGCCGCTGACCTACAAGCTTGTGGCGGGATAGGCCGAAGGCCGCAAATCACAAATCACGCGGCGCCTCTATCCGCCACCGTGCCGCGAGGCACTGGGTGGTGCCACATATTCCTCCGAAGGATGAAAACATACCGTCGCGCAACTTTTTCCAGAGGCGTCGGGAGCGTGGCTGGAAGTCCACACTTCCCGCATGTCCTAACGGGACCCCAAGACATCAGCCTGGGGCTCCCTTTAGTGGTTTCTGGGTAGTCTTGGACGCACTGGGAGCTGAAGGCAAGTATCCCGTTAAGCTTTATTACCTTCACCGGAAAACTGGAAAGAAAGGAAGTTGGACAATCACTTACAGTATCAACGTTGATTGGGTGAATTTCACTCTGGCTAAGGCCACCTGTGAGGCAACAAAAACTGACCGGGGAAACGAGGCAGCCATTAGAAAGAATGGCAAGGCCGCAGGTGGAAAACAGAAGAAGGCTGCGGGTGGAAACAAATCCGATGCACGATACAACATACCACCAGCAAACAACATGTCTGGTCACGTCGATAGGGCCAGGCCAGCGCTGCAAAAACTGCAACAACTGAGAGTGGCCAGCGCTGAAAATGCACTCGCACGGGACTCCCCAAGAACTCGTTTGGGTACGCGGTGGAAAAATCGCAGTGCCCAGCGCTGAAAATGTAAGCTAAGAAACAGGCAAGCGCCAAAAAGAAGACAGCGGCCAGGGCTGAAACAAATATCCACTAGAAAACACAGCGAGGTCATTTGTAGACACTGTCGAGGAGCAACCGCGGAAATCGCCGAAACTATAAAGCTGCAGCGAGGGGAATAGGACTGGCTCTGGGCCTCGCCCCGAACACGAACCACAGACCCGGTACGAGTGGACCCGACGCTCACCAAGCTGAAATCGCTAACAGCAGAATCTGCAGCTGGCCCGCCAGTATCCAAAGCCTCCAACGTCGAGGGATTCCTCAGTGACTGACGGCACCTCACCTACCGACGTCAAGAATATTGCGATCGAGCCAGACTTCGTTACTCCTCGGCTACACCAGAAAATCGAGAGGCTGCTGCGCCAGCGCCAACTGCCAGTCCACACAAATCATTGCCAGCCATGGCCCCAGACTACAGCAGCATCATGGGAGAGGTCTGCGACGACATCGCAGGCCAAGGACACAAAAACCAGCATGTGAAACTATAGCGGCGCAGGAATCCAGGGAGCACCTTCGTCGTTCCACCTTACTTCTGGCTTCAATTCGTCCTGCTAAACTGAAGCGCGGCTTCCCCACTCCGATGCTCAACCAAACATGTGAATGGCATCGGTGTCATCGGGGGGTAATTGGAATAGCCACGCTGCTCAGCTACTGCACCCTGCTGTATGTAACAACTGCTGCTGAGCTCCTTCCTCTCAGCCATCATGGCAGGGGAGAAAATCACTCCTTCCTACCACTTGTGGCTGACGATGGGGTGGGGGAACGCCTATGCTTCCTTTAAACTATATGGCCAAATCCGCCGGGCCAGTCGGCGTGTGTGAGACGCGGTCGTCGTCTTCGTCGTCGTCGCCAGTCCCAAGGAAATCGAGGAACGAACACAGAAAGGAAAAGTCGTATGGAAAGGAAACGTCGTAGTCAAGTCGATTCCCTCCCCTCTTCCCCTCCCTGACGGGGGAGGTTAGGGGGAAGGGGCAAGGGGGGGCTAGGGGGGGGCAAGGGGGGGGAGGTTCAAGACACCCTCCTAGATAGCAAGCCGTCCAGCTCACTCCCACCCGCCCTCCCAACACACAAGCAACACCCGAGCCTCAGCATGTTCACAGCGGTCATCTTTGGATGGACAGCCACTGGGAACCAAAACCGAGCCCAAGTGCGCGACGCTGGGGCGAGGTGCGCCACGCGTGCCAGGCGCGCCACGCGCGCCAGGCACCCTTGGAGCCAGAACGTGCCAGGCAGGCCTGGTGCGCCAGACGCGCCACATGCCTCCGCGTGCGCCAGGTGTGCCGCATCCTCCAGCCGCGCCGGGTGCGCCACGTTCGGGGCACGTGCAGAGTGTCAGGTACGCCTGTACACATGACAGCACACATCGGGAAACATGTCGGCCCCCACCATCCATGTCGAAAACCAATGCCCATCATTGTGTCTGGTGGGCCTGCGCACAGCAGGCCATACACCACCACTTGAAAATGATCGCGGGGTGGCCGCGCATGATCGAGATTTAGCCGCGAGGTGTTTTTTTCTTCTCAGGGATGGTGGTCCTTCGCGCAGCAGCAGGTAGTATGTTGACAGCCCCGCCGTCCCAGTCAAAAAAACAAAACAAAGTGCTCGTGGGCCTCACGAGCATGATTCCAAACCTTGCCCAAAGGTGTATGTTGTATGGTTTTCTGACAGGGATGGTGGGGAGTGGCCCTCATGGGGTCCTCATTGTTCCTGGTTGGCTGCCAGTCGCCTGGGAGAGGGGGTGTACATCAATAGGGAACAGTGGTAAGGGGGGGGGGCGGGGGGCAGACGGGGGGTAGTGGGGGAGAGTCTCAGCCCCGGTGGCCCGGCGGCACCCCCTCCCCTCCCTGGGGCGGTCGCCCCTGCTTGGTCTCCCCGTCGGCAGGGGAGCTCAAACCACCTCCCCCCGCCTTGGCCCTGGCTCCGGTCTCGGTCCCAGCCCTGGCCCGGGCTCCTGGCCCCGGCCCCGGCCCTGGCCCCGGCGCCGGCCAGCCCTGGCCCTGGCCCCTGGCCGGGCCCCCCCCCCCCGGCCCCGCCGGCCCTGGCCCTGGCCCCCAGCCGGGCCCCTTGCCTCAACCCCAGCTCCAGCCAAGGCCCCAGCCACGCCCTGGCCCCAGCCCCGTCGCCTCCCAGACGCCCACTCCCGAGGAGATACTCGACTCTCCGCTCCTCCTCCTTCTCCTCCTCCTCCTCTTCTTCTTCTTCTTCTTCTTCTTCTTCGTCCTCCTCCTCCTCCTCCTCCTCCTCTTCCTCCTCCTCCTGCTCCTCCTCCTCCTCCTCCGCCTCCTCCTCCTTCCCCTCCACATCCGCCCCCTCACACTCCCCCTCCTCCTCCTCCTCCTCCGCCTCCTCCTCCGCCTCCGCCTCCTCCTCCTCCGCCTCCTCCCTCCACCGCCCGCCCCATGTCTCATCAGCTCGTCGTTGTCGTTGTCGTCGTGGTCGTCGTCGTGGTCGTCGTCGTGCCGCCGATTCCTCCGGCAGCATATACTCAGCTTGGGCTAGCTGGCCCAGTCTCGCGGGAGGTCTCGGGCAGGCTACCCAGAGCATGGGATAATTGAGGAGACGGCCATCCCCTGCACAGCAGACCAGGGGACCCCGCACAGCAGCCATCCAAAATGCCGACCAAGCAACTTGCTGCACTGAACATCATCCCGCCCAGGTGCACATGCGACCTGTATGTACCAATTTCCTGCAACATGCCCAACCATATCTGCGCTTCAACGCCAGCGCTTGTCACAACGCGCATCCTGATCAGTGTTGATACGTCTGCAGCTGCGGGCTTGCCTATCAAGGCCGCGGCATGGAGTAGCACGCCATAGTGTGGACCGCCGCACGAACTGGCTGATTCGATCGTGTAAGCATTTGCATGTGCTCACATGTGCCCACTACTGGACAATTGGACGCTAGCTACGTGTGTACATGGTTCTGCGCATGAGACCTACAATGATCGGCGTATAGTTCTGGATCTGCCTTGTTGAACTAATAATTTAATTGCCATGCTTGGCAGATCAGTCGGGGAGAAGCTGGCTGCTCGGTGAGTTTGCATCAGGATGCTTCGATCTGGCTCTGTGCCCATGCTTTTTGCTCGCAAGCATGCCGCCTGACCAATGTATATCACAGTATGGTATGCGCACACTTTTACACAGTACAGTGACCCTTAGTCAGTTCCGCGCGAAGCTCACACACATGCATAAACACAGAACCAACAACATACATACAACAGCACCAAACAAACCACCACAAGACATAAGCAACAGACTGCGGGGATGAAGTTTCAGTCCACAATAATTTCATTGCCCAGTCCTGAGGATCGGGACTGGCGCTCAACCAGGTCGGCGCTGCCCACTTGTCCAGCCAGTTCAAATCTTCCAGCGACACGAAGCCACAGCCATATCTGTCGAGCCCCTTCAGGACCTGGCCCGCACTACTTGTCGTTCCTCGCTCATCGCACATCGCTCCTCCTCTTCAGCCTCCTCCCCCTCCTCAGTCTCATTAATGTCCCCATCCTCTCAATCATGATCACTATCATCAGCAGCGTCATCATCAACATCATCAGCAGCATCGTGATCGTAACTACCATCATCATCATCGTCATCATCTTCAGCAGCATCATCAGCATCATCATAATAATCAGAATCATCTGCATCATCATCATCATCATCATCATCATCAGCATCATCGTCAACAACATCATCATCACCATCAGCATCATCATCATCATCACCATCATCATCAGCAGCATCATGACCAGCATCATCATCATCATCAGCATCGTCACCACCACCATCATCATCAGCAGCAGCAGCCGCATCGTCATCATCATCATCATCATCATCATCATCATCATCATCATCATCATCATCATCATCATCATCATCAGCAGCAGCAGCAGCATCAGCATCAGCATCAGCATCAGCATCATCATCATCGGTAGAATATGTCAGCATAATATTCATCACCTGAATCATCAGTATCATCATCAGCATCATAGTCATCATGAACAGCATCGTCATCCGCGTCATCGTGCGTATCATCATCATCATCATCAGCAGCAGCAGCATCATCAGCATCACCATCCTCCCCATCCCAATCAGCATCATCATCCTCAGTATCCTCACAATCATCAGCATCATCATCGTCCACACCATCAGTATCATCATCAGCGTCAGCAGCATCAACATCATCAGCATCATCATCCGCATCAGCATCACCATCGTCATCGTCCGCACCATCAGCACCGTCATCATCATCAGCATCAGCAGCAGTATCAGCATCATCAACATCAGCAGCATCATCAGCATCATCAGCATCGGCATCGACAGCATCATTACCATTACCATTGCCATAGCATTAGCATTTGTATCATCGACGTCACCATCACCATCATCAGCAACAGCAGCAGCATCAGCATCATCAGCAACCTATTCCTCATCCTCATCATCAGCAGCAGCAGCATCAGCATCATCAGCAACATCCGCATCACCATCATAACCACCATCAGCATCATCATCACCAGCATCAGCACCAGCATCATCATCATCAGCATCAGCATCATCATCATCATCAGCATCATCATCATCGTCATCATCAGCAGCATCACCACCACCACCACCACCACCATCATCAGCATTACCAGCATCAGCATCATCATCATCAGCAGCAGCAGTCGCAGCAGCCGCATCATCATGTCAATCATCCTCGTCTTCCTCGTCCTCCACATCCTTCTCCTCCACCTCCCATTAGGTGGGTAGGCCCATAGGAAGCAAGGGGGATGGCGCCTGCTGCCAAGTCCGAGTGCGGAACGTTCGACATTAGTCCGACGGATATCTGCTTCCAAGGTCGCGCCAAGTATCGAGCTCAACGCCCTGCGTGCATAGCTGCAGTGAAGATGCTGGAGGGGTGAGCTGCATTGAACTCATCACCCACGCGCTGCCCACTCTTACAGTCGGACTCGATTGGACAGGACACGCGAGAGGACACAAGACCCTTCCGAGGGCCACATCGCCATAGAAGTCTAAGAAGGCTCGTGTCGCGAGACACAGGACACAAGGGTACCCTTGAGCTGGCAGGGTCGACCTGCTGATCCGGGCCGACTGCATCGCTGCGTCAGCTTGCTGACCCCAACTTACTGGACGCGCAGATCTCCACAGTCCAAGGCTCGCCCTTCTGCCTCGGCGCCGCGCCCAGTCCTGGGCATCATGCGGGCGGCGCCAGAAAGGTGGTCCCGCCTGGGCGGGGATCGCACCCCGGTCGTGAGCTTGGAATCTCGCGGGCGGTCCAGCACTCGTCGCTCGCCGTGCGGAGCTCGTGCGGCCCCCCGAGCACGAGCGGCGACGAGGGCGAGCAGCGGCCGCGAAGGCTGCGACGAAGGAGACCGCCTCCAGGACCTCCACACGCGCGCGCCCGCCCGCCCAGCCGCTTCATCCTGGGAGCCCCTGCACATTATGGATTGCGCGCAGGCGCTCCGTGGACATGGAGGAGGCGGCGATGCCCTCCAGCTTCGGCCACGAGAACTCGAGAGGACGCATCCTGCCCAGGAGACCCAGCAAGATGCACGCCGTGACATCCCTCCTGTCTGAGGCCATCTCGGGCCAACTTCGGGGCGACCGACGCGAGCATTACCAACCTGGGCACGGCCAGGTGAGCTCCGTTGGGGGACAAGCGCTTCCAAGTGAGGCCGACGGCGGCACCAAGCCTGAACCCCTCTGGCCACCATTCGTGCCGACGATGGCCAGGACAGGGTCGCCGGAAGCACCATGGCTGCGGCCCACCTGGCCGCCCCTGGCCATTCCCGCGTGGCCGAGCTGGGCGGAGCAGCCCAAGGCTGCAGCAAGGCTCGACGGGCCCACCTGGCCGCCCCTGGCCATTCCCGCGTGGCCGAGCTGGGCAGAACAGCCCAAAGCTGCAGCAAGGCTCGGCGGGCCCACCTGGCCGCCCCTGGCCATTCCCGCGTGGCCGAGCTGGGCGGAGCAGCCCAAGGCTGCAGCAGGGCGCGGCGGCTCCCAGGTGCCCGCCGGGTGCCCGCCCGTGGGCACCTCGTGCGCGCCTCGTGCGGCATGCCTCCGAGCTCGCACCACGCACCAGTGCACCGCACAGCCTGCGCCGCACGGCTTCCACCGCACGGCTTGCACCGCACAGTACCTCACAGAGCTCGCACCGCAGGGTACACCGCACAGCTTGCACCACAGAGCTTGCACACCACAGCCTGCACCGCATGGCCTACACCATATAGCTAGCACCACCTGGCGTGCATCACATAGTGTGCACCGCATGCGTTACACCACATAGCTTGCACCAAGTATCTTGCCCCACATAGCTTGCACCACAGGCACTGCGCCACGGAATCTACACCACGTAGATTGCAGAACATTGCTTACACCACGCATCGTGCACCACACTCATTGCACCACATTCATTGCACTTCGATTTTGGGCCGTCGGGGAAGCCGTCGGGAAGGACGACAGGCTTATCGTTGGTTTGGTTGTCAAGGGGGGGGCGTCGGGTATGACGGATGGGGCCGTCGGCTGGGTCGGTGCGCAGGCCGCCGTGAGGCTGGGATGGGGCGTCGGGCCATGGTACTATGGGTGGCGCCTGCCGGGTGCGGGGGGGGGGAGGGTCGTGTTGGGGCGTCGAGGCGGGAAGTGTGGGGGGGGAGTCGGACTGGCCGTCGGGGTTGGTGTCGTGGGGTAGGGTGCCAGGCGCTGGAGTCTGGCCCGTGTTGGGGTCAACCAGTTCACGGATGCTGGAGTCGGTAAGCTGGTCGACGCGGCAGTGGTCCTCGTGTTTGACGCTGGCGCAGGCGATAAAGACTGCGGCACCTCATGTACAGACGGCCATAGTAGAGGAGTCCTTGCTATGACAGGATCTTCTCTCCGCAGCGTAGTCGGGCTCGTCAGTTCGAAGTCCCTAGGACGGTCGGCGCGCGAAAACATTAGTTGGTTAGAGCTGGAGTCTTGCCGCGTGCCCCCAGGGGGACCTGGATGACGGCGTGCTTGACTCTGTAGGGATTATGCTGCTCGTGGCCGCGCTGTGGAACGAAGACGGCGGCATCTGGTTAGACCGTGGTCGGGTTCGAGTGGTACTGCATGTCCTGGATGTTCGTGACACGGCCAGGATCGAAGTGCGCGGAGGCCTTGATGCTGGTTGGAAACCCTGGTCGCCAAGTTGTGCTGCTTGTGGATCGTGCCGCTCCTTCGGCAGGCCATCGTGGCCACGTCGCGCGTGGTGGTGCGCACGCGCGGGGGCGCATAGGCCAACCTTCGGCAGACCGCTGCTTGCACACACAGCCGTCGCGCTACCAGAGAGGGCACTGCATGCAGAGCGATGGGCTTCTCTGGTCAAGGGCGAGCCTCGGCAACGAATGGGCTCCCCGTCCCAGACCTGCGGGACGGCCCGAAAGCCAGAGCCCCTCCTGCGCCAAAGGCGGTCCTTCTTCCAGCGTCTTGGCTGTGTCCGCCTCCTCCTCCTCCTCCTCCTCCTCCTCCTCCTCTTCCCTTCCTCCTCCTCCTCCTCCTCCTCCTCATCATCATCATCATCCTCATCCTCCTCCTCCTCCTCCTTCTCCTCCTCCTCCTCCTCCTCATCTTCCTCCTCCTCCTCCCGAAAGGAGCAGTTGTCGGGTCAGAACTCGGGTCTCTGGCGGCCGTTCGGGACGATCGGAGCAAACCCAGAACGCATTCGGCGAGGCCAGCCGCTGGAAGGCACCCCGAGGCTGGAAACACGCCAAGGACCCTCCGCCCCTGGGCCGTTGCCTCTTACTTCAGCGTCTTGGCTGCCAGCCTCAAGTGTGCGAAAGCCTGGACCCAGCCGGGTCCACGGCGGCCTCGCAGCTCGAAGGGGTTGCCGCAGCGGCTCCCGAAGGGCGCGGCGCTCGGGCGAACCTCGCCTGGCCACGGCACGGCGGCCTCCCCGAGCGTGGCCACCGCCGCGGCCTCCCGACGGGAAGGCTACGGCGCTGCGGATTGCTGAGACCAAAAAGCTACGGATCCTCGGATCCTCCTACGCCCCCCCTCCTGCTCCTCCTCCTTCTCCTCCTCTTCCTCCAACTTCCCCTCCCCCTCCCCCTCCTCCTCCGCCTCCTCCTCCTCCTCCTCCTCCTCCTCCTCCTCCTCCTCCGTCTCTTACACCACAGCCTCCTCCTGCTCTGCTCCTGCTCCTGCTCCTGCTCCTGCTCCTCCTCCTCCTCTCCTCCTCTCTCCTCCTCCCTCCTCCTCCTCTCCTCTCTCCGCTCTTACACCGCCAGCTCCTCCTCCTCCTCGCCTCCTACCCCTCCTCCCCTCCTCCTCCTCCTCCTCCTCCTCCTCCTCCTCCTCCTCCTCATTCTCCTCCTCCGCCGCCTCATCCTCCCCCTTGACCGCCTCCTCCTCCTCGTCCTCCCCCACACCCCTCTCCGTCTCTTACACCGCAGCCTCCTCCTCATCCTCCGCCTCCTACCCTCCTCCTCTCCCCCTCCTTCCTCCCTCATCCTCCTCCCTCCTCCTCCTCCTCCTCCTCAATCATCATCATCATCATCATCATCATCATCATCAATCATCATCATCATCATCATCATCATCATCATCATCATCATCATCATCATCATCATCATCATCATCATCATGTTCATCATCATCATCATCATCATCATCAGCAGCATCAGCATCATCATCAGCATCAGCATCAGCAGCAACAGTATCATCATCGTTGTTATCAGCATCAGCAGTAGCAGCATCATCATCATCCTCATCATCATCATCATCAGCAGCATCATCATGATCATCATCATCAGCATCATCATCATCATCATCCTCATCATCATCATAATCGTCATCATCATCATCCTCATCATCATCATCAGCATCATCATTGTAAGCATCAGCATCATCAAAAGCATCATCATCAGAATCACCATCGTCTGCAGCATCATCATCAGCAGCATAAGAATCAGCATACTCAGCATCACCATCATTATCACAATCATTAATCTCACATTCAGCATCATGAAAATCATCATCATCATCATCAGCAGCATCAGCATCATAATCATCATCATCATCATCATCATCAGTATCATCATCATCATCATCATCATCATCATCATCAGCATCAGCATCATTGTCGTCATCATCATCGTCATATCCTCATCATCATCACCACCAGCAGAATCATCATCGTCAGCGGCATCATCATTAGCATCAGCATCATCATCATCACCGTCATCAGCATCATCGTCAGCATCACAGGCAGCAGCACCATCATCACAACCATCATCATCAGCAGCAGCATCATTATTATCATCATCATCATCATCATCATCATCATCATCATCATCATCATTAGCAACAACATCGTCAGCATCATGATCATCAGCAGCAGCATCATCATCGTCGTCGTCGACATCGTCATCATCGTCGTCATCGTCATCGTCATCACCAGCATCATCAGCATCAGCATCAGCAGCAACAGCATCATCATCATGACCACCACCATCATAATCCGAATAATCATCAGCAGCATCATCATCAGCACCAGCATCATCATCACCATCATTAGCATCATCAAAATCATCAGCATCATCATCATCGTCAGCAGCATCATCATCATCATCGACATCGTCATCGTCATCGTCATCATCATCATCATCATCATCATCATCATCATCATCATCATCATCATCATCTTCATCATCGAAGTCTGCATGAACATCATCAGCAACAGCAGCAGCATCACCATCGTCGTTGTCAGCAGCATCAGCATCATCAGCAGCATCATCATCGTAATCAGTATCCTCTTCCTGATCAGAATCATCATCGTCGTCATCAATATAATCCTCATCATCATAATCATCATCAGCATCATCATAGTCATGCTATCGTCATGCTCATCAGCAGCATCAGCATCATCATCATCCCCGTTCTCCCCATCCCCCTCCTCCTCCGTCTCTTGCACTAGAGCCTCCTCCTCCTCCTTCTCCTCCTCCTCCTCCACCTCCCCCTCCTGCTCCTCCTCCTCCGTCTCTTGCATCATCATCAGCAGCATCATCATCCCCGTTCTCCCCCTCCCCCTCCCCTTCCGTCTCTTGCACTAGAGCCTCCTCCTCCTCCCTCTCCTCATCCTCCTCCTCCTCCCCCTCCTCCTCCACCTCCTCCTCCTCATGCTCCTCCTCCCCCACTCCAGAGCCCCCCTCCACTCCAGAACCCTCCTCCACCAGCCCTTCTCCTCACAAAGGACCTCCCGCCTGTCGCACCCCCAAAAACGTGTCTGCCGGGCGGGCTGGGCGCGTCGCCTCTTGAGACCTCCTCGCCGCTTGGGATCCCGAGACTTGCTGCGGCTGCGCGGGTGGAGGGCGCGGTGGTTTTCAAACACGTGGCTCCCGCTCGAGCGCCGCGCACAGTCGTCTCTCCAAAAGTTCGCACCCGCCTCAAGAATGGAGGGCGGGGCGCTTTCAAAAGGCAGCGCTCGCTGCATCGCCACGCACCTTCGCTCTGACCGTTTGCAGCAGCTTCCAGGATGGAGGGCCGCTCCTTTCCAGCACGTGGCCCTCGCCTTAGCACCGCGCGCAGTCGTCTCAAAAGTGTGCGGCCGTTCCCGCGTCAAGGGCTCGCATGGCTGAAGTCCCAAGAACGGTGTCCTGGCAATTTTCTGCATCGTCAGGACGCAACAGTGAACAGCCATATTAATTCGCGGTGACGAAATCGGATGTCATGGCCGCGAAATGCCAGGGAGAATGTCCTGGCACGATTTAGGCTCATCAGGGCGCGACAGCCAGGGTGATCCGCGGCGTGGAAGTCCCAGGAGAGATGCTTGGGCACGACTGAGGGTTCTCAGACTCTTGTGTTCTCCTGGGCCACTTCCCACAGTTCGCATACATGCTTTTGTAGCGGCCTGCGAAGAGGGGGAACAGTGTTGATGCGTCGTGGGTTTGCACCTGTACTCCTCCTCCTCCTCCCTCCTCCTCCTCCTCCTCCTCCTCCTCCTCCTCCTCCTCCTCCTCCTCCTCCTCCTCCTCCTCCTCCTCCTCCTCCTCCCTCCTCCTCCCTCCTCCTCGCACGAGCGGCGGGAGGCCGAGGCGGGGACCACCAGCGGGTCGCCGTCCGCCTGGCCCCTGGCGAGCCACGGCCAGCCCAGCGCCGCGAGGACCTGCACGAACGTCTTCAGCGGCCTCCGCTGCGCCGCCGGGGCCGACCCCCCAGAGGGCAAGTCCCGAGTCGCTCGCGCGTCGCGCTGCGCGAGCCGCAAAGTACGGTCAAAATTCGGCTCGCGCTCCCGCGCGGCCCCCGGGGGGGGAGAAGAGGAGGAGGAGGAGGAGGGAAGGAAGAGGAATGAGGGAAGGGGCCCTGGGACACACAAATGAATACACACAAATAACGAGATTCCCCGTATTTTCCTGTATTTTCTGGGTTTGGTCTCCCCCCCACACTCCCCATATGTTCCCATATTTTCCAGGGGATCGACGATTAATTCCTCTCGCTACCCCCTCCTGAATGAGGGGAATTGTTTCTGTGTGTTCCCCTCCTGAATGAGGAGGGGAGCAGGCCGCGAACCACGGAGCGAGAACAATCTCGCGCACTCGTGGCGGCCCCTGCCTCGACCCTCGAGTTCAGGCTACGATTAAGTCTGGCGTGTCCTCCTACAGGGGGATTCTCAAAATAAAGAGTACCCCCAAAAGACCCCAAAAAGGTCAAAAAATACTCAAACAATAGTCCCCCGACGATTTTGGGATTACTTTTGGACTATGTTTGGTGCATTTGTTCCGAACCCTCCCTTGGTTGGGTACTCGTTTTGAATAGAGAACTCTGGTCGCCCCGTCCTCCCGCCCCCCCTCCCTCCTGCCTCCTACCTCCTCCTCGCGGCGCCCTCTGGGGGGCTGCGATGTGCGCATGTGTCGCCTCCTGCGATCTTGCGCAACTGTCGGCACTTTCGTGGGCTCCTGGGAGGCCCAGCGGAGTTGGGGTACACGCGGATCGCGTCGGGACCTCGCGGCTCCCTGCGGGGGGAGCTGCCAACTGTCGGCCCTTTCGTGGGCTCCTGGGAGGCCCAGCGGAATTGGGGTACACGCGGATCGCGTCGGGACCTCGCGGCTCCCTGCGGGGGGAGCTGCCAACTGCGCAACTGTCGGCACTTTCGTGGGCTCCTGGGAGGCCCAGCGGAGTTGGGGGGGTACACGCGGATCGCGTCGGGACCTCGCGGCTCCCTGCGGGGGGAGCTGCCAACTGCGCAACTGTCGGCACTTTCGTGGGCTCCTGGGAGGCCCAGCGGAGTTGGGGTACACGCGGATCGCGTCGGGACCTCGCGGCTCCCTGCGGGGGGAGCTGCCAACTGCGCAACTGTCGGCACTTTCGTGGGCTCCTGGGAGGCCCAGCGGAGTTGGGGTACACGCGGATCGCGTCGGGACCTCGCGGCTCCCTGCGGGGGGAGCTGCCAACTGCGCAACTGTCGGCACTTTCGTGGGCTCCTGGGAGGCCCAGCGGAGTTGGGGTACACGCGGATCGCGTCGGGACCTCGCGGCTCCCTGCGGGGGGAGCTGCCAACTGCGCAACTGTCGGCACTTTCGTGGGCTCCTGGGAGGCCCAGCGGAGTTGGGGTACACGCGGATCGCGTCGGGACCTCGCGGCTCCCTGCGGGGGGAGCTGCCAACTGCGCAACTGTCGGCCCTTTCGTGGGCTCCTGGGAGGCCCAGCGGAGTTGGGGTACACGCGGATCGCGTGGGGACCTCGCGGCTCCCTGCGGGGGGAGCTGCCAACTGCGCAACTGTCGGCACTGCCGTGGGCTCCTGGGAGGCCAGGCGGAATTGGGGTACGCGGGTCGCGTCGGGACCTCGCGGCTCCCTGCGGGGGGAGCTGCCAACTGCGCAACTGTTTCGTGGGCTCCTGGGAGGCCCAGCGGAGCTGGGGTACACGCGGATCGCGTCGGGACCTCGCGGCTCCCTGCGGGGGGAGATGCCAACTGCGCAACTGTCGGCACTTTCGTGGGCTCCTGGGAGGCCCAGCAGGGTTGGGGTACACGCGGATCGCGTCGGGACCTCGCGGCTCCCTGCGGGGGGAGCTGCCAACTGCGCAACTGTCGGCACTTTCGTGGGCTCTTGGGAGGCCCAGCTGAGTTGGGGTACACGCGGATCGCGTGGGGACCTCGCGGCTCCCTGCGGGGGGAGCTGCCAACTGCGCAACTGTCGGCACTTTCGTGGGCTCCTGGGAGGCCCAGCGGAGTTGGGGTACACGCGGATCGCGTCGGGACCTCGCGGCTCCCTGCGGGGGGAGCTGCCAACTGCGCAACTGTCGGCACTTTCGTGGGCTCCTGGGAGGCCCAGCGGAGTTGGGGTACACGCGGATCGCGTCGGGACCTCGCGGCTCCCTGCGGGGGGAGCTGCCAACTGCGCAACTGTCGGCACTTTCGTGGGCTCCTGGGAGGCCCAGCGGAGTTGGGGTACACGCGGATCGCGTCGGGACCTCGCGGCTCCCTGCGGGGGGAGCTGCCAACTGCGCAACTGTCGGCACTTTCGTGGGCTCCTGGGAGGCCCAGCGGAGTTGGGGTTACACGCGGATCGCGTCGGGACCTCGCGGCTCCCTGCGGGGGGAGCTGCCAACTGCGCAACTGTCGGCACTTTCGTGGGCTCCTGGGAGGCCCAGCGGAGTGGGGTTACACGCGGATCGCGTCGGGACCTCGCGGCTCCCTGCGGGGGGAGCTGCCAACTGCGCAATTGTCGGCACTTTCGTGGGCTCCTGGGAGGCCCAGCGGAGTGGGGTTACACGCGGATCGCGTCGGGACCTCGCGGCTCTCTGCGGGGGGAGCTGCCAACTGCGCAACTGTCGGCACTTTCGTGGGTTCCTGGGAGGCCCAGCGGAGTCGGAGTTACACGCGGATCGCGTCGGGACCTCGCGGCTCCCTGCGGGGGGAGCTGCCAACTGCGCAATTCTCGGTCCTTTCGCGGGCTCCTGGGCCCAGCGGAGTGGGGTTACACGCGGATCGCGTCGGGACCTCGCGGCTCCATGCGGGGGGAGCTGCCAACTGCGCAACTGTCGGCACTTTCGTGGGCTCCTGAGACGCCGAACGATCGCTCCAGGACGTTCAAGGTGGGCCCCAGACGGCCCAAGAGGCTTCCAAGACGCTCCAAGAGGCCTCCAAAGGCTTCATGGGAGGGCCCCGAGAGGCCCAAACCACGACTTTTACGATGGTGAAGGATGTTGGCCTTCTCGTCTTTTCGGCTTTCCGGAGCTACAGGACGGCTCAAGATGCACCCAATACTGCCCCAAGACGGCCCAAGAGGCTTCCCAGAGGGCCCGAAGACTGCCCACGAGGCCCCAAGACAGCC